GCTTTATTTTGACCGATTCACCCGATTCCGATCGGAATCGCCGATTCGCCGATCCGGATCGGTTTTTGAAAAGCCCGATCCGGGTCACCGATCCGATTTTTAAACCATTGATTCAAAGGGAAGGAAGAGAGAGAGAGTAACATGATTTAGAGATAGAAGGTGTAACTTGTGGGGTTTTTTTGATTTTCTTGTTTTAGTTTGTATTCAAAAAGAAGGACAACCCATTTTCCTATAGCTATTATACATCCTCACAAGGAAAGCAACTCTAAATAAAACCATATTTATGTTAACGAATGAAAGAAAGATCACGTAAACTGTAAACCCAAAAGGAATCAGAAACTTGCTATCTTACCTAATCATTTAATCAAATTCTTTTTAACGCCCATAAGAATAATTAAACCCAACCAAATAAGATAATCTCATCCTAGTCTTAGGGTTCAAAATTTTTGAAAAGAAAAAAATCCAATTATGTTATCTTCTTAGCTCAGTTTGTTCTCAGGGTTAAGAAAAACTCGACCTCAACCTTGAGGATTCGAAAAAAACTATTCTTTGCTCCCAGGGTTGAGAGAAATTCGACCTCAACCTTGAGGATTCGAAAAAAACTATTCTCATCATCAATGGCTAGTGTTTTAAAAGGCACTATACAGATCCTCTCTCGACCTCAACTTTGAGGATTCGAAAAAAACTATTCTTATCATCACTAGGCAGAGTTTTAAAAGGCACTATACAGATCCTAGAGGGTCTGCCTAGATTGGCGTCCAGAATTTGGACGGCCTAATTGAAATAAAAAAAACTCTATAGTCTTTAACAATATATATATATATATATATATATATATATATAAATAAAAAATTAAAAAAAATATCTTTTTTATTTTTATTTTTAATTTACTTATCTCATACTAAAAAAAAATTAAAAATATTACTTATAAACAAAAAAATCTTAATATTTTCTATCTTATAACCGCTTACATCCTCTCTGACCCTGAATTTCGGACCCAATAAAATATTAAAATAACACCCTATCCCTCTCTCTCGCACCAACGTCTCTCTCTAAAATATTTGACCCAATAACATATTATCGACCAAACCTCTCTCCCCCTTATTCTCTCTCTAAGAGGTGCCTGCAACAGTGAGAGTGGGAGGGATAGGAGCTCTCTGTCTCTAAGTGGTGCCTGCAACAGTGAGATAGGAGCTCTCTCTCTCGCTCTAAGAGGTTCCTGCAACAGTGAGAGTGGGAGGGACGAGAACTTTTTCTCTCAGTTTCTCTCTCCTTATGCTCTTTTGTCTCTGTACCTCTACTGCATTTTTTTTCTTCTTGTTTTCTCTCTCCTCTTTCATTTTCTCTCTCTAGGAAGCATTTCTTTATATGGACTGTTAGCAATGGGGGAAGTCAGTTTTCAGAGATAGCCTTAGTAAGTTAGCTTCTATTTTTTGTGAAAACTGTTCCTATTGCTTAGCGAGATACAAAATATATAAAAACAAAGAAATCAGGGCTTATTGCGATAAGTATTAATAGTTAAAGGTACGATTAAGCCATTGCTGAAATCCGTTGCCTTAGCTTCAATTCCGTATGGTTAGAGAGAGAAACAGAGGAAGTTGCACGGTCAAACCCTATTTTTGACGCCATTGATAAAATCTTCGTAGAGAGGGTCTACACTCTACTCATCTCCCTGTTTCTCGAAGCTTCTCGATGAGACTCTTCCTCGTTTCTCAGAACCGAGTGCAGCCTATCTGAACAAGTTGCAGAGATACTGATTCATGTCTTCGAAGAAAATTGGTCTCATTTGAGAAGGATTCTGTCAGAAATGGCAGATCATGACTCGATCCCTAGGGTTTCTGGTGTGGATTAGAGGATCAACCACTGTAACCCTAATGAATTATCTTATTTCATCAATTTGGAGACGATCAATGGAGAAAATGGACAAAGGGGGAAGCTAGGGTTTGTGTGCAATGTTGAGGAGTTGCAGGACCTGGTTGCTTTGATCAACGAAGCTATAAATCTGCTGAGAGATTAGCTAATGATGCAAATCCCTCTTAATTTCTCAGAATCCATTGCTATTTTTCTGATCAAAAGCCATGGAATTTTTGTGATCCATTAATTTGGAGGATACTGAGTTGATCAGAAAAACAAGTTTGCGCTGTAAAATTGTAGGTTATGTTGATTCCTTAACGCTTCTTCTACTCTTTTGAAATTGAGATTTGGAACACTGAAGAGCGGTTTTGCTATATTGATTTGGATATGAGAAAGCGAGAGACAGAGAGACAGAGAGAGAGGAATTTGAGAGAGAAGAGAGCTCGCATTTAAGAGAGAGATTTAGGGTTTCTTGTGAGCTGTTTACAGTTCACAAGTCTCAGTTACCCTCCCTTTCTTCTGCCCTTTCTTATTCCTCCTTTGAAAAACCCCAGTTCCTTTCTCTGTCCTCTTCTAAACCCTTCTAGACCCCTGAACAAGAGTTTCGAAGCTTACTTGTTCCCTAAACGGTGATTCATCTACCAAAAGACATGGCTTTAGAGAGAGACGGTGAAACGGTGCTTCATATGCCAAAAGACATGGCTTTAAAGAGATCCAAGGGGTTATAAGATAGAAAATATGGAGGCCTTTTGTTTATTGGTAGTATTTTCAATTTTTGGATCGATGAGGTAGACAAGTTAAAAATAGGGGGTAAGAGGATATTTTTTTTAAGAATTAAGTATTTATGGCACACCAAATTTAAAACGTATACTACACATTATTACACATTTCATAAGCATAGCTATAAGTCAATCCATATACACATAGTATGGACGATGATCCCAACCACAAGGAGCTTCCAATAATCCACGGTTCGACGGACGCAAGCTAGCTCCCGCTCCCGGGAACTCACTCGCACCTGAGTACAATGATTGGAGCACCTCTAGTCTAGGCATCAAGCATTAGGTATTGTAGGAAGAATTCTTATCTGTCTACATCCATCTGAATTGAGAGAGCATCAACTTATGAGTTCTTCATATTCTGTCTCTGAGGCCTAATGTGCTTAGTATGTATAATCCACTATGTTGTGGAGATTCTTAGCAATTGTTCATGTGATGTTAAATATTTTTGGCATTTTGGCTGGCATGGTTAATGTGGAATGTAACCCTTGATTATGGACTGTGCTTCTGATGCTGTCAATCATGATTCTTGCTGGTTGGAATGAGTTTGATTATTCTTAGAGCTTTTGTCTTGCTGTTGATCATCTTGTGTCCCTGCTATTGATCATCTTCGAATATTAGTGCTCGTTCTCATGTATGTTCAATTATCTTGTGTCTTTGGTCTTTCGTATTGTGATTTCTGTAGTTTTTTGGGTTCTTTGATTAGTGTTAATTGAACATGATCCTTTATGTTCTCTTTCAGATCTAACCTTCTTATCACTAATTCCATCAGAAAATCGTTCTTCAAGAAATTTGTGTTATTTTGATTAATCAAAGCTTTTTCCATAAAAAGCTGTATGGCCATTGGAAGTTGTAGAGCAAGCCTCCATCCAAATGGAGACGAAGCAAAGGACTAAAGTAACCGTGGTAGTTGATATACCAGATGAAGGGTTTTATCTGTGTTCTCTATGATCAATAGAAATTGCAGAGCATGTTGTGCCTAATTTTCTTATAAATGATGCAGAAAATCCCAACACTGAAATTTCTGCCTATCTCCACAACTCTCCAACCAAGCTAGCATATATCAGAATCCATGCCTGCTTCAATGGATGAGTTTCTCCCCCTTAATCTTGATGGAAATGACTCATTCGAGCAAAGTCCAACAGCAGCCCACACCAAATCATCGCCATGAGGGAGATACAAAGCAGATGCCATTCTTTCAAGCGTGCTGAGGTGGCCTGAGCCTCGATGACTGACCCTATGTCACCTGACTTGGTGCAAGCTCCATCCGAGAAATCAATGACTTTGGCTTTTCGTCGGCTTCAATAGGTGGATATAGCTTCGTCTGTCGTGTGGACCTCCGATAATTTGCAGAACTCAGCTACCTATGCTTGGAGGCCCAAAGATGGATGCTATTATTTTATATAGATGTCCTCTTATCAGGTAGCATTATCTTTGCTTTTGTGGCCTGATATTTCCTTGCATAATGCCTAGAAAACAGCCTCTCTAGCTCTTCTCCAAATTAGGACCTTCTTGAATGCGAGATCTGATGGTTTTAGTGTCCACCATCAGTTATGTTGTCCTTGGTTCCAACCTTCTGTTCTCATGTAGTCAAAAGTGATTGTTGGCTTGATTGCTGGAGTTGAAAATGGTGCTGCTGATGAATAATCTGCTGAAATTACCTGAATATCTTATCTTTTACATGATCGTAATGTTTGGGGTACTTCTTCGGTATCTTGTGATAGCAATGCTCATGACATGGCTTGAAAGCAAGCCTTCCATCATTGGATCTTTGCATATAAAGCTAGGATCACATTGAAGTCTTCTGAGCAAGACTTCAATGTAACTTTTGATTTTTCTTTTATCCTTCATTGTATGTTGGAGCTCATTCTTTTTATTCTTGTTGCAGCAGCGCCCTCATCAACCTGTTCACCCGATTCCATCACAAATGTGATGCAAGAACTTTGGGAATAAGGAATACTGAAGTTGTATTGTATTTTTGGTTGAGAAACCTTTATTATGCCCTTGGGAAAAGGCAACCTGTGCATATGTCTTTTCCTTAGGAGACACTAGGACTTTTAAATGATTCTAAAGCTCCGACTCACTATTTTCTTCTTTCATTTCTTGGGTCTGATTTGAAGAATAGAAAATAAAAGGAATGCAACCAGAGAATAGCAAGTTCCCAAGAAAGTTTTGTGGTGGAATATTCAACCCGTTCAAATGTTAACAACAGTCTCATGTACTCTGATGGTTTGTGTGTGATTATTTTGTTATGGATAGTTTTCATTGTTCATATTTTAAACATTTCATTTTGTGTCCATTTGTGCTGCCCTGGCTCGAAAAAAGAACAGACACTTGATATGCGGGAACAATTATAGAGCTCTTAAGCTATCCAAGTGATGGTTAACATATGATTTAACTAGTGGTAGTATTATATGGACACCAACATAAGTACTAGTGTCTACAAATTTTCTGTCTAGAACTTCAGTCTAACAAGTTGATGTGGCTGGACACCTTGGTACAATTGTTATTTATTAAGATAATTATAAATTTTATTATGTATAACAATTTTCTTTGGAGGCAGATGATTGTATGCAAAAATTACTTTGGGTCAAACTTTGCATTGAGCAACTAGATGATATTTAGTTATGAACTTAGATTTCATTGCACACTCACTTCCGTAAAAATTGTTTTTTTAGTTATCTGATAATTTGATATTCCATTTCAAAAATTAGATTATCACAAAATTATTTATTTATTTATTTGAAGTCAGCTATGGGTTGAAAACATTACATCCGTAAAATTTGAGGTTTTAAAAATTCTTCTAAATTGGGCTTTACTTGAGTGAGCAAACAGACAATATGGTTCCCTAGGAATATGAATTATTTTTCTTTAGTTATTTAATTATTTTTTATATTTTGTTGACAAAGGACAAGTCGCTGTAAAACTGGCTCACACCAGCAAAGAGGATTTGTGTATTTTGTTTCTATTATTTATTTCTCACCTTTTGTTTATAGAGAGATCTTTTCATTTTCATTCATTGCGAAGAGATATCCATGCAAATATTATGAGAAGCATACTTTCGAACTTTCCATTTTAAATATTTTCCCTAAGTTTGTGCGCACCTATTGCCGCTCATTGCTTTTATCTATAACTTGGATATAGAAAAGCACAGGTAGGTTGAGAGCTTGGATTTGAATCGGAGGTGAAAAAGTGAAAAGAAGAAATTGTGTAATCATTTTCTATCATTTATGGCGTGTTTGTTAAAAACGCGAGCAGAACATGTTTGTTTGATGGGACTTTTAGCAAGTGGGAGTTAAAAGTCCCACTAAACCATATCAACCGTGTTTTACATAAAAAAAAAAAAATGGACGTGCATGGAATACTGCTCATCTAAGCACGTCAAAAAATGGGCTTCAATCGGCTTCCATTCCCTGTGACGGAAGCTTGCTTTTTCATGTATGATGATTGGGGGTTTTCAAGTCCAATACTTATTATTTATTGAGTTGTAATTGCTATCTTATTAGGTTTACCCACAATAGTTGCTCGGAATCCACAAACTACTCGCCTCTATCTCTCTCTTTTGCATCAGTGGAGAGAGATGTCATAGCCAGAGCTTCTCCGACCTAGAGATCATAGCCAGAGCTGCTCTAACCCAAAACTCCTTCAAACATTTATCTGATCTTCTGCTAGCTATAACTAAAAGCTCTTTCCCAATCTTTTGTCACCCCCGAAACACACTCTCTCTAAAAAGCTTTCTCCCTCTCTTAGACCCATAGTTGTCTTTCCAACTCAAAGCTCCCATATTCTCTCCCTAACTGAATGCTTTCCTCCACTCTTTCTCTAAACCCGAGCATACTTGGAACCCCCTATCCCTCCTCTGTATTTAGATCTATACTGTTGAAGCCAGTCATGGTGGCTTGATGAAGCAATTTGAGTCATGTCATTCTTCCTTCAATCTTTTCACTACATTCTTTGAAGCGACTGGTGCCACCATCGAGAACCTGCTCCAATATGAAGGGCTTTGTTATCAAGGTGATGTTTATGAAAATAGGTTTCTTAAACATGTACATGGCTCCTGCAACTACTTTTGTGTTAACAGTTGCAGGCTCTAAATGAGGTTTTGGGGTTAATATTTTTCTTTCTTTTGCTGTAATTGAGGTGGAGTATTTCTTTTATGTGTTGTTTATGGGTAAACTATATTTTATCTCTCTCTCTTTGTTCGATTTTCAAAATTTTTTGAAACCAAAACAAGGTCCCCAGTCTCTATGCCTATTTTACAGTTTTAGAACTTCATATTCTTAGTCTTTGTGTTCTTCATAAATTACTGTCTCGTCCTTCTGCAAAATAAACCCAAGTTGCAAACTTTGTCTCAATGGAAAAAACAATGATGCTGATTTCTAGAAAACATATGTGCAAATAGTGAGTGGAGACAGTATCCCATATACCTTGTCAGGCTCCCAAACTTTCAAGAAATTCTAAGTACCTTATCAAAAGCAAAATTTGCGAGTTCCACCTTGAAGGTGGTTAGATCTTCCACCTCCAAGGAGGTTCCACATTCAAATTATCAAATAGGCTCTCATTGTTTTAAAGCTTGATGGTGTTTTATCCAGATCATCAATTCAGTTAGGAATCGGTAGAGACCAAATCAATTCTAGAATAGCATGGGTACTGGTCTGGTTCCCCCTAAAACCCCTTCTTTTATATAGTTTTTTCTTTTCTTAAGCTTGTCTAATGTTTTTTTAGGTCCCTTTTAATCCCAACACATAAACTCCTATTTTTATTTTTATTTTTATTTTATTTTATTTATTTTTGATATTTTTTATTACCAATTAAGACCGAACTAGACCTGATCCGGATCTTCAATCCAGTAATTTGATGAGGATTTGTAGGTGAACAATTTGCCTAACCGATCTGGGTTTTAAAAAACTGATATCAATTAAAAGAAACATGACACCATGAATATAACAAAACCCTTAAGAAAAGGGATGAAAAAGAAGAAGAAATGCCACATAGGTTAATGTAGTGGGAATTTATGGACAATTAGATAAAAGTGGTAACCAATAGGCAATGGGAACAATGTAGAATTGCTAGTGCCTCAACACAAAGTCTCCCATTCTATTCCCACTATTAACATGTCAAAAGAAAAAGAAAAAGAAAAAAAGAGTATAGGACTAGAAGAAACATTGAAATACATATCTTCCAATACAAAAATAATGGAATAAGAATAAGAATACTAAAAAAAAATAATGGATTAAGAAAATAGGAGTGGTATCATTTTTTTTCTCTTTTTGGGTAATTCAATGGGGAAGACATGCCCCTATCCAACTTTTCAAATAGTTTAGGAGTTACTTTTTTTTTTTAAGTGTTCGTAGGGCGATATCAGTGGGTATGAAACATCCAATTTTTCAAATAGTTTAGGAGTTAGTTTTTTTGAAGTATTCGTAGGGTGATATCAGTGGGATTGACGAGCCCCCTTTCCCAGGAGTGATATCACTATGTGTGGTTTAGTTACTCTTTCCTTATATCATCTCACCGGTGACCAGGATGTCTCTATTAATCTACATAAACAAAAAAGGAATACAAAACTTATCCAATACTATTATGCCAGCTATTTACAGACAGAAAAGGCTAGTCCTATATATCACAACAAAAAAAACGAGAAAGAAAAGGAGTGACTTTTATATATCACTACTTCTATTTTTTATCTCTAAAATTTCTCTTTCATCTATCAATTTTTTCACTTAAAATCCTCTGATTGGTTATCTAATCCAATGATAAAGGTGCCAAAAATAATCACGTCCATTTTCACTTGAAGTTCTTTTAAGTTTGGAAAAGGTTTATATAATGGTGAACTCCTAAACAATTAAATTAATGTGCAGCTCAAAAATTTACTAGAAGTTGTTTTGAAACCTAAAAATCCTCAAATTGATCATCTCGGCCTTAGGACAAGAGAAAAGATATAGTGAGTCTTGCCATGCATTTTTTGGACCGTAAATTTTCAAAATTTTTAAGTGTTCATAGATCTGCTCGATCTACAATAATTTTGAAGCTTTAAATTTTATAATTTGAAATAAATATAAATTTTTAAATCATCATAAAGATTTTCAATACTGAGACAACAACTATCGAAGCTATTTGAAAGCGCACCTTACTTGGATTCTTTAGGGGCTCAGCCTTATACAAACCACACCTTTTAAGTTTTGTCTCAATCACAATTTTGTAAAAATAATTTAATTAGAATAGGAGTTTGTATAAAAAAAGTCAGGAGGATTTTAAATGCTAATGACTACAAGAAAAGAAATCAAGAAAAATAAAAGAATATGCGATTAAAATTTTAAAAGCCATAAAATAATTAATACCATCAAATGAAAAAACAAAAAGCAAAAAAACCTCTTTTAATTTTCAATTTGATTAAATATTTCAAAATTTAGTTTTTACTTAATCTCTTAACAAGGCAATGGTACATCAGTGCACGTGCCATTGCCAAATTCATTTTAAACTTTCTTGATCTTCATTAGCTTTCTGTTATGATTACAAGTATTGGAAAAGATTTCTATACTTACCATATTTAGATGTCCGATCTGAATGGACGGCGGAGTGGATGCCCTAAATTACCTTTCATGTCCAACTGTCTGATTTGAATAGACGGCGGAGATGGACCTAATCACAATGTCATGCCTCTATACTATTCTATTTTTACTTTTTATTTTTATAAAACATTTTGACACCAAATTTTGGGCATCCACTCCTCTCTTGAACTTGCACATGCTAAAAAAATAATATTGATAAAATAAAATAACCAAATATCCTTGAAATGTTTAAGGGTATTTAGTCACTATCTGAGGTATTGGTCATTTTGTTTTATCAAGAATATTTTTTAATATATTTTTTAGGTGCACCCTATTGGATTATGTCACGTCCCAAATTTCATATATATGATTTGTAGAAAACAAAAATTAAAAATGTAATAGTATGAGACATGGGTTCGAGATAAACGATTCATGGCTCACTTGATCTAAAATGGACAACTGCATGGAGGGGAGTGTATACTTTAGATACATTATGGGAAGTTTAAAAAGCTTTCTCATGAGTATTTGGTTT